TGGTTGATTCCTTTTTTTCAACAACTATCCTTTATTTTACCACGTATTTCCTATCGATTATCAGCACCTTCAGAGACAGTCTCTTGTCTATCCCTCTGTGCAGTTGTCTTCATTCACACACATCACCTGTTACCTGTATGTATAGTGACCTTCTAATTAAGCTCTTCTCCCTTGCCTCTCCAGTCCTTTGCCGAACCATCTCACATGTTGATTAACTGAGTAATCTTTCTAAAACACAAACATAGTCTTCCCAGGTTTAATCTCTACTTTATCCTTTCCCACATTGGCTGATTAGTATATGTGCCTTTGGTGGGGATTGAACTCAAAAACTTAGCATATCGGGACGATGTTCTAACCAACTGAGCCAGGGCCCCTGTTGCTATTTCTTGAAAATAATAGCACATCTTAATTTTTTCTGAAAAAGGTAAGGTCCATTTTTTAAATGGTCAGGATAGTGAAACTTTTAGCTTGTTTGCATCCTGCCTGAACAGCCTATAGGCATACAGTCCACCACAAATATTTCCAAATTATATTATTTTGTACCAGCCCAGATGAACCTTATTTTCACTTTGAAGGCATGTTGAGGTCAATGATGTTTAAATTGGTGCATTGTTCAGTGGTGAAATAGAGTTACAACTTGTTCTGACACTTCATGAAATAATGTTAAATGAATTATTTAGTGTGAAGTAAAGAACCCTGCTAAATTATTTTAAACTATTCAGGGTTAATTAAACTATTTTAAGGTTTAGTCTTTAAAAATTTGTCATATTTTTAATCCATAGATTAACCTTTTAAGTTTTGAATCATAAGATCCTCTTTTAATTAAAACAAACTTAAAATGTATTATAAAAAGGTTAAAGTTTTACATGAGCTTTTTATTTTTAAAATGTTAGTTAAGTGTATTTCTTTAAATATGTTTTAAAGATTAATGAATACTTTGAGGATAACATGGCATTTCACTCTTTGGATGATGGCATTGGTTTATAGAACTGTTACATTAGAATTGAAAGTGTTCCACATGAACTGAAATCAGGATGCAGTGGCTGCAAATAAATTCTTCAGATAAATTCAAGTATAAGAGTATGACAAGAATAAGCTACCATTTATAAAAACACCTAAACAAAATGAAACCCTAAGGAATTTTCAAATTGTGAAACAGTGGCAACAATCATTTAATATGAATGGAAGGAGCTGGTAAATGCTTCCCTTTTTAAATATCTCAAAGTTAAATCATGAAGTGAAACAATTGAAACAGGGAAGATGATTTAGTGGCAGCATAACAGATTACCATTTAGTTCACAGGCATACCCCTGTGAACTGAGTGCATTATGGGACAGGACCAAGATTAGAACACAAAAAGGTATTCAGGAAAAGGCTCCCGCTTAGCTATAATATATATATATATATATATATATATATATATATATATATATATATATATATACATATATATATATATATATATATATATATTTTTTTTTTTTTTTTTTTTTTTTTTCTTAAGGAGTTGTGCAGGCTTAGTTCTAACACTTTGTAAACATTCCTATTTGTTTCTCTTTTTTACCTCTAAAGATTTTATCTCACAGTCACTTTGAGACATCCTATCTGCTTGGAGAAGTTATTTTCACCCAGTCTTCTTCCCTGACCTCAGTCCTGCTCCAGCTTACCCTTAAGTGCACACCTTGAAGTTAACTTTTATGTCATGCCAGCATGCAATCATTTGCCATAATACCCTGTCTCTCTTCAGGACTGCAGTAAATTAGTTATGGATAAGCATTTGTTTAATGTTGGCCTTCCACTAGAGCAAGTCTTTTCCTGACTGCAGCATTCCCAACCTCTAACCTAGCACCTCGCTGAGATAGGCACCCAGGAAACACATGTTGCATGATTCCCAGGAGGAGGCTCCTTCTAAAATCTGGTCATGGCACAGCTGTAACCTGATGCAATGTGTGAGATAAGCAAGTACTAGAACCCAGAGGGACGTGAAGTCATTCTGAAGAAGCTTGTGGTTTATCTAAGAACAGTTAATAGGCCATTGAAGGATTGTAAGTCAGAGTCCATCCTTGGGTGGACATCTGTCTCCCTTGTAGACCTCTAGGTAATGCTTTCTTCATGGTTCAAGAAAATGTATTTGTCACATGAAAAGCAAAGTAACATTTGGTTTATAGTTATATAAACAATTTCTATAGACATTTCCAGAGTACTTTTCTTACACTTTATAAAAATAATCATTTTATGTATTTAAAGATTAGGGAAGGATTTATAAGTAATTAGAAGAATGAAAATATTTTTCAATGCAGAAATTACTATACTGAATTTGGATTTGTTATAAAAACAAAACTTAATAGTATTTCTTAGTATAGTTTTCAAATTAAAAAAGTGAGTGAGGCTTGGGTTGCCCCCGGTGATGGAAGAAGCTAAGCTTCCCTCCCACCTTGGCTGGCCCTGGCCTCTATTCAAGGCTACAAAGTTTCAATTACAGAAGATAAATAAATCTCAGACACCTGCTTCCAGCCAGCCCTGGTGTCTGCTCAAGGAGGCGCTGAAAGTAAAGTGAAATTTAAAAAAAAAAAAAGGAGGGGCTGGGAGCTTGGGTCACCAGAGGATATAGCCAGTCTTCAAACATCCATCAACCCCTCACCAGGCTGGCCAGACACCCCAGTGGGGAGCTACACCCCCATGGCTCAATCCCTGTAAACAGGCAGTCGAACATCCCTCAAGGGGTCCCAGACTGGAGAGGGTGAAGGCTGGGCTGAGGGACACCCCTCACCCTCGCCCGCCATGCATGAATTTCATGCATCAGGCCTTTAATAAATATTATTAGAACTGCAAGTTGTGCTTTGGTAGGAATTTTAAATGAAAATTATTTTTAGTTTCTATTCTAATGAGCCAAAGAATTTAAAGTCCCACTCAACTAAAGTAATATATGATGTTAAATGTGTTGCTTTCATTTGTTTAGGCATAAGCAACAGGAATTTATTTTCACACAGTTCTGGATTCGAGACTAGAGTCTGCAGGATTGGTGCCTTCTGAGGGCCATGAGGAAGGGTTCTGTTCCAGGCCCCTCTCCTTATCTTGTGGACAGTCATCTTCTCTGTGTCTTTACATTGTGTCTCCTCTGTACGTATCAGTGTCTGAATTTCCTCTCCATCGTCTTCTTGGATCCTTGAACATGCATTGCTTTTCAGTGACAAATGTCTTATGTTTTTGAACTAACCTTCCAAGAAATTATTTTTTTCTTTAAGAAAATATACTTCCTTTCTGATTATAAATGTAATAGATGCTCATTGCAGAAAATTTAGAAGACATAGAAATCTTAAAATGAATTAATTCTGCCTTGGTGGGTTTACTCAGTAGTTAGAGAAATGGCCTGTAGAGAACAAAAGATTATGGGTTTGATTCCTGGTCAAGGACATGTGCCTGGGTTGCAGAGTTTGATCTCCATCCCCAGTAAGGCAGAGGCAGCCAATGGATGAGCCTCTCTCACATTGATCTCTCAAAAAATCAATGGGAAAAAATCCTTGGGTGAGGATTTACAAAACAAAAGAGACAGAAATACATTAATTCTGATTTCTTCCTTTCTACCTTTCATGCACTTTATTTTCTTAATAAAAAACAACAAAACACCTTTTTTTGTTTTTTGAGTGGGCAACTTTCTATCATGGTTCTCAATTTCTTTGCTATGACCATTGCATCCCACTAGTTTCTTTTGGGTTCATTTTTCTTCTTACTGAAAAAGGTCTTGATTAGTTCTCTCAGTGGGGACCTATCAATGATAGACTTATTTTTTGTTCAAAAGTTCTTTTATTTCACTCTTACCAGGTACTCTTCAATTATAATTTAGCTAGATGTGGTTGGCAATTGTTTTCCTTGTAGTGCTTTAAATAATATTCTTTTATTCTGATCTTACTGATGAGAATTCTAAAGGTTCAACGATACATTTTGTTGTTTAAAAATAGTCACTATGAAAAACTGTACTTTTCCCCCCTTAAAACATTTTTTTAGATTACTGTGCTGATATAAAAAATGAATTCATGTAATTTTTAAAATAAGGGTAAATGGTAAAATGTGAGTCATGAAATATAACATTTAGTCCAAAACAAAATTACCTAAGATTGCTACTTGAATATATACATATACTGGCCAAGTATTATGTTTTATAATATGCTGTACACAGTCATGTATATTTTTGGCTTTTTTTTTTTTTTCAAAAGTGGTATTTTGAGCCGTGGCTGATATAGTTCAGTGGTTAGAACACTGACCCACACACCAAAGGGTTGCAGGTTTGATCCCTGGCCCTAGTTGGGGTGTGTGCAAGGGTGCAGCCAATCAATGTGTCTTTCTCACATCGATGTTTCTCTATCTGTCTTCCCTAACTCCCTTCCTTTCTCTTAAAAAAAAAAAAAAAAAAAAAATTATCCTCAGGTGAGGATTTTTTTTTTAAAGGTGATATTTTGAGTTATGTTTTAATTTAGAGGAGTCCTAAAATAGACTAGTGCAGTCTAATAATAATTGCTTTGATGATGGAAATATTCTATGTCTGTATTGTCTAATAAAGCAGCCACTAGACCCTGAGTGGCAATGTATTATCTTTTTATTTACCCTATCTCTCATTAAGTGAATAGAATTTCTGAATTAATAACTTGATTAGTTTTAGGCCAAATAATTTAAGATACAGTAATTCATTTTTACATGCAGATTTTTTTCCAGAAATAATTTGTTTTAATAAAAGTTTGACTATCAGTATATGGTTAGAAGGAAGTTATAGAATCACAATGAGCTTGTATAATATGTTTAGCTTATGGTCTGGTTTCTACATTATAGTCATACATTCAGTGTGTTTTTGAAGTATTATATTAAGGTTGGTATGTCTTCTGAGGTTACTTTTTATGTATTAAGTATTAGTTCTTGAGGAAGAAGAATTATAGGACTAACTCTTCAGGTTTCACTCTAATAATAACAAACAAGGGGATTTGTTAATAGTGCCTTTTATTTTTCAGATTGCAAATAGAAGAATCTTCTAAACCTGTACGGCTATCACAACAACTGGACAAAGTTGTGACAACCAATTACAAACCTGTTGCCAATCATCAATACAATGTAAGTCTGTCTTCATTATGTTATACCTTTTCTGTATCATAGACCATGCTAACATGTGCTTGAGTTATCCAGACTTAGCAAGGGATATGACAGTTTGCCAAGCTTAGAAAAGATGTTCTCTCTATATCCTAAGTTATACTGTTTAAACTACTCTTGTAAGTTTTTCAAAGAAATAAAACACTTAATTTTTTTAGTGTTTCTAATGTTTTAAATTATGGTATCCCTAATAAATAATAATTTTACTTTTTTCATTTTTCAATTTAAAGGTCATGAAACAATGGTAATTTTTCCCATTGATTATTAAAATTACTTTGCAGTTTCCGCTTGCACAGGCATTTTTACAGTCTCACTGGACCATGCAAAGTGAGGACTCCCCTTATGTTCACAAACTTTGTTTTCTGTGGGGTTGTTTGTTCTTAATCCTCCCCTGAGGATATTTTTCTTATTTGTTTTCAGAGAGAGTGAAAGGGAAGGGAGAAGGGAAGAGGGAGAGAAAGAAACATCAGATGTGAGAGAGACTCATCAACTGGTTGCTTCCTGCATGCGCCCCAACTGATGGTGGGGATCAAACCTGCAATCCTTCAGTGTGAGGGCCAAGGCTCTAACCATAGAGCAGTACTGGCCAGGGCTGCCCTTACATTTTAAACCTTTTTTTTTTTTTATTGAAGCATATCATATATGCTATATATATTGTATTTTACAATATATAATACACACACATAAATCCTATATAATAAAGAGGTAATATGCAAATTGACCATCACACCCTCTCAAGATGGCTGCCTACAACCAGGCCAGCAGGGGGGTACTGAGGAACGACCAAACTACTGAACAGCAGGCTGCATGGGGTGACTAGGCCACTGGGGGGGGGGGGGGGGGGCTTTGAGGGGAGACAAGGCCAGCAGGGGGGGGGGTGATATTTGGGGGCAATTAGGCTGGCAGGAAGGGCAGTGAGGAGTGACTAGGCTGGCAGGGGTGGGTGACCAGGCTGGTTGAGGGGAGTGCAGTTAGGAGCAACCAGACTGGCAGGGAGGGGGCAGTTAGAGGTGATCAGGCCTGCAGGGGGTGGCAGTTAGGGGGCACCAGGCAGGTGGAGGGGGCGGCTAGGGGTGATCAGGCTGGTGGGGAGAGGCAGTTAGGGTGCCCAGGCAGGCGGGCAGGCAGATGTGCGATGGATCCATTGGTCCAGGATTGTGAGAGGGTGTCTGACAGCCAGTTTGGGGATCAGGCCTAAACTGGCAGTCAGACATCCCCCGAGGGGTCCTGGATTGGAAAGGATGCAGGCTGGTCTGAAGGGACACCCCATCTCCCCTGTATTTTGTGCATCGAGCTTCTGGTTATATACATACATCTACTTTGTGCTAGGTACTGTTCATTTAATCATCATACCTACCCTATGAAGTAACTATGGGTATAATCCTCATTTTACAGATGAAATACGTGAGAGACATCCAGGTTAGCTTACTTGAGATCACATAGCTGATCCAGGTATTGAATCCAGGTAGCCTGGTATAGGTGTTTATTCTTAACCAGTGTGCTATGTTACTGCAGGTCATTAGCAATGCTACCAGAACTAAGGGTTTTGTGTCTTGAAGTACCTGTTATGTAAGGAAAAATGTGATGATTCTTTGAAAATAAAATAAAGCCTAAGTTAAGTCAAGTAGCAATGAACAGTTGATAGTTTGTGTTGTGCTTTGTTGATTAATATCTTCTTAATACTGAGTTTAAGATGAAATAGACTCTTTAAGACTGGCCAGAACTACTACTTTGTTTTTATTTAATTTTTGTGGGTTGTTTTTGTTTTGTTTTGTTTTTTAGTTTTTGAACCACTACTTTATGATAGTTGAATTTCTTACAGTTATTTTAGATGAGGTGGCAAATGTCAGGCTGGCATCCTCAGTAAACAGAATGCTGAAATGTAAAAAGGTAAAATCCTGAGGACTGTGATGAACTGGAGTGCACGTGCCCTTTCTAAAGAAATCCAAATTTTAAAAATTGCTACACTGTGTAGATTAAATAAAGCAAGTCAAAATTCAGTTACATCCAAGCAGGCTTTAACTGCCTCTGGTTATGCTTTAGGGGAAAAATCAAACTAAAGAAGAGGACAGGCAAGATAAGTGGAGACAAAATTGTCAAATTATCCAGGAGATGTATTTTTCTATTTTCTGTTGAGACAGGTAGATGGAAGTCTAATTTTTTTACCCTCTTCTATTTTTATCTTGTCTATTCCTAGATGGGAATACATGCAATTTTCTGAAGCCAAGTGGAAATACAGACGTGTAAAATATTATAGGTCTTAATTGTCTGCCTTTCTTCGTTAATGTGCTACTCCTATAGCCTCTAACTATGCTTTTTTTTCCAATTATGGGCCAAACTTCTGTATAGTTTCCACTCCTGTATGTTTTTCACAGTGAGGACAAGAAAGACATCACTTTCCATAAGCTGTAAAGAGATGTAATTTTTCTGAAGAGAAGTTTGGTCAGGAAGACAAGTGCCCAAAGTTGTATATGCAGTAGTGTTTATCTCTATTCTTTAAGATAGGAAAAGATTGAGACAAATGTTCAGAAATGAAGAATAGTTAAATACTTTAACACTCATTAATTTTGGATAAAAGAAGTAGAGTGTCTTTATTCTAATATATATATCTCCTATCTAATAAAAGTGAAACATGCAAATTGACCATACCTTCACTACACCCACAAGCCACGCCCACTAGCCAATCAGGGCAAGTATGCAAATTAACCCAATCAATGTTATAGTTAATTTGCATATCCAGGCTAGATGGAAGACTGAACACAGCATAGAAAGAAGCCAAGTACTGCAGAAGGGAGCAAAGCTGCGGAGAAACAAGCTAACAGGGCAAGGGAGAAGGGAAGGAAGCAGGTGGCCTGGGGAGAAGGGAGGGAAACAGGCGGGGTGGTGACCACAACAGGAATCCCTATTGCAGGAATCTTCCTGCAATGGGCCTCTAGTGTGTGTGTGTGTGTGTGTGTGTGTGTGTGTGTGTATTGATTCCAGAGAGAAAGGAATAGGGATAGAGAGATAGAAACATCTGTGATGAGAGAGAATCATTGATCAGCTGCCACCTGCATACTCACTATTGGGGATTGAGCCCGCAACCCAGGCATGTGCCCTTAACTGGAATCAAACCCAGGATCTTTCAGTCTGCAGGCCGATCTACCAATCTATCAATACTATATCTACTGAGCCAAACCAGCTAGGGCTGTCCCTTTATAAACGTTTTTTGAATTGTCACAGTGAGTACATATTATTTGAATTGTTACAGTGGGCAGTAATACTTTTCATCAACGTTGGGATGGTGCTGCTGTTCTTGTCTTCTTGAAGGAAAGATTTCAATCAAGAGAAAGTGCAGCAAAGCAAGCAACATTTAATGGCCACAGCAAAACACACTTAGGGCAGTGTAACAAGGAAGAGCATAGAAGAAGTAACAGGAGAGCCTAGACTGGGCCACTTTGGCTCACTGGGAAGTCAGAGAGAGGGGGACCTTAGAGACAGGGTCAGGGGGTTAGCCCGGGACGAGCTTCCGCTGCTCATTACTCCCCTGGTTGTAAATCTTGTGGGGTCCCTTAGAGCAGCAGTTGCCAACCAATCTTTCAAACCTCGCAGACCATCAGTGGTTTGAGAACCCCTGGTTGGCGACCGCTGCCTTAGAGGGAAGGAGAAGGGGAAGGGAACGGCACAGGTGTGCTTTCCAGAGCTTGCTCTGAGAGTATTTATCTTTCTGTCGTAGGCAGAAATCTTAAGGGAGGTCTTTGAGGAGGGTTTCATTGAAATTTCATCAGCTATGTGTGCTCTCTCAGGGTCATAGTCTACATTGATTAGTTCGCACCAAGGTGGGGGTCATTAGTCAATGCAGTTGGCCCTGAGGCAGCCCCAGTGTCACTTGTCTGGTTTTGGTGCTTTTCTGAGCCTGGAACTGAAATATAACTGAGGCCTACATGTTATCTTTTGAGAGACAAGTTCAGGGGTCTAAATCACATGACCAGTAGTGTGAAAGGTTGGGAGGCCAAACCACATGACCAGCAATTTAAACGGTCAGGCAACCAAACCACATGACTAGCAATATGCTGAGGGAGAAAGATTAGTGTGAGGGCGAGATCCTTATTTTCTCAGATCCTTATTTTCAGCCTGTTGCTAGACACTGAGGGCTTTCTGCCCTGGTGACTCCCGGTGCATGGTCCATCATCCTTGCTCTGCTCATGTCTGTGTAACTGCCTATTACAATGGGAAAAGTAGAAAACTATGGAAGGGTATTAGTACCTAGCCGTGACATTATCCTACCATAGTTATCTAAGAACTAGAGGCCCAGCGCACAGTTAGGGTCCCTAGGCCTGGCCAGTGATCGGAAACTGCCAGCTGCCAGCTGCCAGCTGCCAGCCGGGCCTTCCTTCCCCAGATGCTGGCTCCTGTCCAGGGCCTTCCTTCGTTCCACACCACCCCCTGGTGGTCAGCACACATCATAGTGAGGATCAAACTTCCCAAGGGGACACTTTGCGCATTAGCCTTTTATATATATGTGAGTGTGTGTGTGTGTGTGTGTGTGTGTGTGTGTGTATACACACACACACACACACACACACATACTAGAGGCTCAATGCACAAAATCCATGTGTGTGTGGAGCGGGAGGGGGGGGTGGAGGAAGGGGGGGTTGTCCCTCAGCCCAGCCTGCACCATCTCCAATCAGGGACCCCTCAAGGGATGTTTGACTGCCTGTTTAGGCCCAATCCCAGTGGCCCAATCCCTCTCACAATCCAGGACTGCTGGCTCCTAACCACTCACCTGCCTGATTGCCCCTAACTGTTTCTGCCAGCCAGCCTGATCACCCCCTAACCACTCTCCTGCCAACCTGATCGACGCCTAACTGCTTCCCTACTGGCCCAATTGCCCCTAATCCCCTCCTCTGTGGGCCTGGTCCCCCCCAACTGCCCTCCCTTACAGGCATGGTTTCCCCCAACTACCCTTCCCTGCAGGCCTTGTC